AGCACACCCACTGTAGTAAGGTCTGGAAGGAGGCTAATATCTTGTCCTTCAGGGATCCGGCCACAATATGGGCATGTAGTTGCGTGAGCCAATATTCCATGTTCCCAGCTACCACTGTAGTGGCCATGACAGGCTTTAGGTTGGATAGTGTGGAATCCCAGGACTTTTTAAGAAGGGAATCCGCTCTTCTGTCCATGGTGTCAGAGAAGACCCCCATGTCCTCAAAGGCAAGATCCATTTTCCTGGCTACCTGAGAAAATGCCACGTCCAGTTTGGGGCTTTTATAACACACTGCGGACGAAAACTCATCAAACGGGAACCTGCATCTGAGAGATATAGCAAAGAAAGGCTCTCTCTCTTGATCCCTCCCTCTTTATGGATTCTACTAGCACCTCATGGACATGGAAGACTATGCTTTGTTCCTCTATACCCGGATACATCTGATCATGCAACGTGAGGGGCTAATCTTCCGTAAATCTCCAAGGTAGCATACATAGCTCCCAGTAAGTCATCAACCTCCTCCAGGGACAACTTGTATCTAGAGGCACCTCTGGACTCGCTCGAGGGACCCTGCCCTTCAGAGTCTGCCTGGGAATCCGAATCTGGGGATGGGTCCTGCTCCACAAACTCTGTTCTGGGACCCATCGCCTCCCTACTGGTCACCGGGGACGTCTTGATTTGTTTGGGGGGGGGGAGTGAGCTCTGTATCTGAGATAAAATTCTCGACCATACACCTAAAAGGAATCAAAATTAGCTGTCAGTTCCTTAACTGACTTAACCAGGTCCCCCTGGGAAGGAGCTTCCCCCCTGATCAAGCCCTCAATACAAGCACCTTCGTCCAGGAGTCATTGAGGGTCACTTTTTTAGTCCCGTGGTGTGGCTTGGGCTTCTCCCTGGCTTTCACCTACAAACATAAATAGGGCTCCCATAAACCATAGATGGGGCTGCCCCCCCCCCCCCTCTGGCAGGGCGTGAGAATCTTCTAAACTGAGACCCTGTCCCACCCCCTGCTCTAATCCCTCCGACCACCAGGACAGCTGAGGATACAGCTTGGAGCTAGAGGCCAATCAGATAGGGGGGAAATAAAGCTCCTCTGTGCCACCTACCTGAGGATGGCTGTTGCCGGCATCACCTGGTCCCAGCGCCTCTGCTCCGGACATGGCCCAAGGTGGTGCTCCACCTTAAGGTCCTGCATCGCCCGCCTCTGCAGGATGCAGCCCTCAGCATCGGCCGCACTCCGGTCCACATTTCAGGGGAGGAAGTTCCACCCCTCCACCGGAAGTGACATCCCCAGTCATCCGACCCAGCCAGGGCTCCATTTGCTGGCACATCGTGGGGCGGCAGTACCTCTCCCCTAGGTCCCCCTGGACAAAGAAAAGTGGAATGCCCGGCACCCCAACATTCCCCCAGTGGGGGCTGGGCCAGAGAAAAAAAAAACAAAAAAACAAAAAAAAGGTAAAGGGACATTTCCCCCCCTCCCCGTAACCTGTTCTCAGCTGATAGGCAGACTGAAGTCCGCTGTTGGCTGATGTTACCCAGCCGGTCAGGGCTGGGGAAATATTCCAACTTCAAAGTCAGGATCCACCCGAGTCTGAAGAGGCACCTGGCTCAGCGAAGCTCTAAAAACCTGAGACAGCCACTCCCTGCCCCTCCACAGCCCAGTGCTCCAGTGAGAACGGGGGAGGGGGCAGAGCAGAGTGGTGACTGACAGTCCCACTCTCTGCTCACAGCGGTGCTGAGAACGCATCAATCAGCGGCCATATGATCGCAGAGTTCTCACCCTTGGTGCCGGTGGGGGACCGATGCTGCATCCACCTAGGTAACTATAAATTAAAAGAAAACGCTCTACTTCCGTTTTAACTCTGTGCCTAACCCGTGTTTATTTTCAGGTGCTTTCACTAAGGGATGTGCTGGATTTTATTCCCTGCTTTGCAGGGAAACAAAATCCAGCACATCCCCTCAGACAGGATGCTGTGCATTGTTTACATATGCAGAGTTTTGTCCACTGTGTCTCCTCGCCAATCAGCAGGTGCCAGCAGTCATCCAATGGCCAGCATCCGCTGATCGGCTTCTGCTGTCACTAATCACAGCAAAAGCAGCACGTGCCTCACCCGAAGTGCACAATCACAAATTAGAATATCGTGCAAAAGTTCATTTGTTTCAATAATGCAACAAAGGTGAAACTGATATATGAGATAGACTCATTACATGCAAAGCAAGATAGTTCAAGCTGTGATTTGTCATCATTGTGATGATTATGGCTTACAGCTCATGAAAACCCCAAATCCACAATCTCAGAAAATGAGAATATTCCATGCAATCAATAAAACACGGATTGTACATAGAACAATATCGGACCTCTGAAAAGTAGAAGCATGCATATGTACTCAGTACTTGGTTTGGGCACCTTTAGCAGCAATTACTGCCTCAATGCGGCGTGGCATGGAAGCTATCAGCCTGTGGCACTGCTGAGGTGTTATGGAAGACCAGGATGCTTCAATAGCGGCCTTCAGCTCTTCTGCATTGTTTGGTCTCATGTCTCTCATCTTTCTCTTGGCAATGCTTCTGAACCCCAAAGATTCTCTATGGGGTTCAGGTCAGGCGAATTTGTTGGCCAATCAAGCACAGTAATCCCACAGTCATTGAACCAGGTTTTGGTGCTTTTGGCAGTGTGGGAGGTGCCAAGTCCTGCTGGAAAACGAAGTCAGCATCCCCATAAAGCTCGTCTGCGGAAGGAAGCATGAAGTGCACCAAAATCTCCTGGTAGACGGCTGCGTTGACCCTTGACTTAATGAAGCACAGTGGACCAACACCAGCAGATGACATGGCTCCCCAAATCAACACAGACTGTGGAAACTTCACACTGGACTTCAAGTATCTTGCAGTGTGTGCCTGTGTGTGCCTCTCCATTCTTCCTCCATACTCGGGGTCCTTGGGCCTCTCCATTCTTCCTCCATACTCGGGGTCCTTGGGCCTCTCCATTCTTCCTCCATACTCGGGGTCCTTGGGCCTCTCCATTCTTCCTCCATACTCTGGGTCCTTGGTTTCCAAATGAGATGCAAAAGTTGCTCTCATCAGAAAAGAGGACTTTGGACTACTGAGCAACACCCGGTCTGTTTTTCTTTAGCCCAGGTAAGACGCTTCTGATGTTGTTTGTTGTTCAGGAGCAGCTTGACAAGAGGAATACGACATTTGAAGCCCATGTCCAGGATCCGTCTATGTGTGGTGGCTCTTGATGCACTGACTCCAGCCTCAGTCCACTCCTTGTGAAAGTCCCCAACACTTTTGAATGGCCTTTTCCTGACAATCCTCTCCAGGCTGCGGTCATCCCTGCTGCTTGTGCACCTTTTTCTTCCACACTTTTTCCTTCCGCAGAACTTTCTATTAATGTGCTTTGATACAGCACTTTGGGAACATCCAAATTCTTTTGCAATTACCTTTTGAGGCTTTCCCTCCTTATGGAGGGTGTCAGTGATGGTGTCAGGTCAGCAGTCTTTCCCATGATTGTGATTCCTACTGAACCAGACTGAGAGACCATTTTAAAGGCTCAGGAACCCTTTGCAGGTGTTATGGCTGAATGAGCTGATTAGAGTGGGACACTTTGAGCCGAGATTATTCCACCTTTTCACAATATTCTCATTTTCTGAGATTGTGGATTTGGGGTTTTCATGAGCTGTAAGCCATAATCATCACAATGATGACAAATCACGGCTTGAACTATCTTGCTTTGCATGTAATGAGTCTCATATATTAGTTTCACCTTTTAAGTTGCTGCACTGAAATAAATGAACTTTTGCACAATATTCTCATTTTTTGAGTTTCACCTGTATGTAAAGCGCTGCGTACATTGACAGCGCTATATAAATACCTGAAATAAACATGTTACGAAAGGAGAACATATGCTTTAACCACTTGCCAACCGCGCTACAGTGTGGTTATCCAGTTCTGGGAGGGCATCATAGGACATCCTCCCAGAAGCAGCCCCCCAGCAAGTAAGCACCCGGCAATCTCCGTGATCGCTGTGTCCTACAGACATAGCTGATCACGTGATGAGGTAAAAAGGTCAATCACAGCAGCCTTTAACCACATGATCAGCTGTGTCCAATGACAGCAGATCACCAAGTAAATACAGTTGCCGGTTATCGGCAGTACCGTACTCATGCTGTCACAGAGCAGATCGCCACTGATCATCAGGGCTCTGCAGTGCCACCCAGCAGTGCTGCCAGTCAGTGACCATCATTGCTGCATCATCAGTGCCTCCTTATCAATGCCCACCAGCGCAGGACCATCAGTGCAGCCCCATCAACGCACATCAGTGAAGGACAAAAATTATAATATAAACAAAGAAAAACTTTTTTTTTTTCCCCAAACTTTTTTTGCTTTTTGTTTATAGCGCAAAAAATAAAACCCCCAGCAGCGATTAAATACCACCAAAAAAAAAAAACTATTTGTGTGAAAAAATGATAAAAATTTCATATGGGTACAGTGTTGCATGACCGCGCAATTGTCATTCAAAATGCGTCAGCGCTGAAAGCTGAAAATTGGCCTGGGCAGGAAGGGGGTGAAAGTGCCCGGTAGGCAAGGGGTTAAAGCTATGTGTTATTTGGACACAGATCAAGGCATGGCTGGAAATACACAAATGCTAAAAGAGCCCTGAAATTGTAACCAGGACACTCACATCGGAAAAGTCACGGAGTCCCCTGCTCTGTTCTTTGAAGAGAAAGCACGTCAGAACATTTATATTATACTTCTATATTTAATAGAACAAATGACAGACAACTCTGTATATAAAAACAATGGTGACTGGAGACTTGTGTTGTCTCCTAGAGTCATTTATGTCCTTTGTCATCACTGAGAATAGTGACAATAGAGTAAATCAATCTCCAGCGTGAAGCCCAAATACCCGGAGAGGCGATATTCAGTCACATGTTCCAGCCAGTGATTGGTGGAGGATAATGGCGGCCGTGCGCCAACTGGTAACGCAAGTCCGGTGGTCATTCCTATCTCCCTTTACTCTTCATCTTCTGTCTCACCTTCTTACCCGGCCGTTTCTGCAGAGAGAGGTGAACGTTAGTGTTGGGCGATACACAGGACACTTACCTATTTCTACTGCTCATTCTACCCACGTTGGCATTCTTCCCGCCCTTCTTTCCGGGCCTGCGAGGGCCTTTCCCATGAGCGACGCTCCCTCTGAAGCTTGACACGTCATTGAAACTATCCTTTGTATTCATTTTTGAGCCTTTCTTCCTTCCTCCAAAGCCAAACTTCTGGTCTTTGTACTTTCTCTTGGCGCTAGGTCTTAAAAAGAAGATAAAAACCAAATAAAGAATTTGTTAAAAAAAAATAAAAAATACAACATAAATATGAAATTACCATCACATGAGCACCTATGCAATCTTGACTCAAAACAACAAAAAAACAAAAAAAAAACCCCAACTGGCCTTATGGCACGACAAGAAGATCTTCTGCTTCCTGGTAGAGACCAGAAGCAACGTCATTCCATCACTTCCAGTTAGGGAAGATGTAAACTGCCATTTTTTCATGAGGTCAATGTTTTATTTTGTTTTTTTATCTCATGCTTTCCAGGGTAGAGGAGAAATCTGGGGTCCTCTAGACCCCAGATGTCAGCATAAAAAGGACCAGTAATACTTTATTTCTATCACAAGGGATGTTTATATTTCTTGTGATATTATTATTATTATACAGTATTTATAAAGCGCCAATGGTTCGCTCAGCGCTGTACATTACAAACGGGGACAGAACATGTGACAGAACAATACCAATACAATGCAAAACATGAGGGGATCGAGGGCCCTGCTCCTTGGAGCTTACAATCTAGGAGGGAGGGGATGGTGGTACAGGAGGAGATAGCTGTGGGGGATGGAGTGGTAGGAAGAGTGGAGGAGGTCGGCAAGTTAGCAGGGGGTGGGGTAGGCTTCCCTGAAAAGGTGGGTTTTCAGGGTGCGCCTAAAGGAGAGGAGAGTAGGTGATAATCTGATGGGTTGGGGCAGGGAGTTCCAGAGGATGGGTGACACCCTGGAGAAGTCCTGGAGGCGGGCATGGGAGGAGGAGACCAGGGAACTAGAGAGAAGGAGATCTTGTGAGGAGCGGAGTGTGCGTGTTGGGTGGTACTTGGATATTAGGTCAGTGATGTAGTTCGGGGCAGTATGGTGGACATCTTTGTACGTCAGTGTTAGGATTTTGAATCTGATCCGTTGCGCAATCGGAAGCCAGTGGAGGGATTGGCAGAGGGGGGTGGAGCCAGTGGAGGGATTGGCAGAGGGGGGGTGGCGGAAACTGGAGCGGTTGGAAAGGTGAATGAGTCTGGCAGCCGTATATGCCGATATGAAAAAAGTGGCAAAAAAAAAATAAATAAAAAGGGACAGTGTAAATTAAAAATTATATATATAATTTATATAATTATTGCAGGAGCAATAATTCTAGTGCTAGACCACCTTTGGAACTTTAAACTGGTAGCCTGAAAATTTTTTTTAAAGCGTTGCCTATGGAGATTTATAAGTATTGTAGTTGGTCACCATTCCATGAGCATGCACAATTTTAAAGCGTGACATATTAGGTAACTATTTACTCGGTGTAACATCTTTAATGTTTTACCGAATAATGCACTGAACTTTATTTAAGTGTATTTTGTACAAAAAAATTGCATTTGGAAAACCGAGTGACAAATATTTGGAGCATGTATATGTAAAAATACAAATACATATTATATATATACATATACACACAGTATTTCACAGAAGCGAGTCCTTCCCTCACATTTTTGTAAATATTTGATTCTATCTTTTCATGTGACAACACTGAAGAAATGACACTTTGCTACAATGTGACGTAGTCAGTGTACAGTTTGTATAACATGTAAATTTGCTGTCCCCTCAAAATAAACTCAACACACCGCCATTAATGTCTAAACCGCTGGCAACAAAAGTGACTCCACCCCTAAGTGACAAGGTCCAAATTGGGCCCAAAGTGTCAATATTTTGTGTGGCCACCATTATTTTCCAGCACTGCCTTAACCCTCTTGGTCCATGGAATTCACCAGAGCTTCACAGGTTGCCACTGGAGTCCTCTTCCACTCCTCCATGACGTCATCACGGAGCTGGTGGATGTTAGACTGGCAGAAAGGCCATGAAATGTTAAAACCCCTTTGTGTATTTTAGCTGTATTGATAGTATTATTATAGCTATTATCTAATAATTGTTATTGACCAACTAATGTGCGCTTACCCTTTTTTACCCTTTCCTGGTGCACCGGCAGTTTTGTTTTGTGGCTGATCTCCTTCTAGAAAATCCAGTTTATCAGAAAGACCTAAAGAAACAGACCAGATATAGAACAAAACAATTAAAGAAAAGAAAAAAAAACATTTCAGTGAAAAAAAAAACAAACAACAAAAAAACTAGCCTAACCTTGCCAACCACCTAACCTAATCTTACCTTGACCCACCAAACAATGGCTGGTTTGGCGTTTTACACCCTCAGGAATTAACCTCTTCACGCCAACTGTACTCAAATATGCGACCCCACTGGACTGGGCTTTTTATCCATGGGGTCGCTAATTTGCATACCTGTCTTTGTGCTGGGAGCGAGCCGCACAGTAGAGAGACCGGGGTCTCACTGAAAGCCCTGGGTCCTGTTCTAACGATCGGGACCCAGAACTCTCCGATTCCGAGTCACCCGATTGCTGTGATAGTCTCTGATTGGCCCCCCTTGTTTTCTCTCTCTGAATGGAGGAGAGAGATACATTGTATCTCTCTGTCTTTTCAGAGAAAAAACAAAAAACAAGTGTGTGTGTAAAATAAATATTAACAAAATAAAATTTAAATAAAAAACAAAACAAAAAAAAAAAACTACATCAAAGTTTGATCTAGGTCAGTGCCAGGATTAGTGTTTGCTTCAAGGTCAGGGTCAGTATTTTTTTTTTTAATTTTTAAATTAGTATCAGTGTCAGGATAAGAAAAGAAAAGCAAAATGTGCACTATTATTTCTGGGCCATACTATGGTACATCAACAACTAACATACACATATGTGGTATCGTTGCGATCTTCAGGAGCAGCAGAAATTATTTTGGGTTTTTCTTTGGTGATAGGTTATGGTAGTAGCAGGAAATGTACAGCTACATTTATTTTTTTTAAAAAAATGATTTTTTTAAAATATTTTGGGCCATTTTCCCTTTGATTAAAAAATAAATAATATATCAGGAAATATCCATTGCCATTTACCAGCAAATGAAAGCTCAATTTATCCAGAAGAAAAAAAAAAAAAATGCGGTATAATCCACCTGGATGTAAAAAGTAGTTGTGATGATATGTATGGTTTTGCTAACACAGGTCAAAATTGCAAAATTGTGCTTAGGCGTTAACATTTGTTTTAGCCTTAGGCACAAAGGGGTTAAATCATCTTTGGCACTGTATGCAATGCCGCAGTACCTCCTCAAAAACTTGAAGGGGCTGTACTACTACACATGATAGGGGTATGGCCCTGAGACTACTAGGAGTTACAGAGCTGATTTCAGGTCCGATGTTTGCACCTGTGCGGGGGTTCGGAGTTAGACTGGATGACTAGGTAGGGTGGTCCAATATATTGACCTGGTGGGGAGGAGGGGGGGGGGGGTTTTGTCTACATTAGATTGGATGGCTAGGGAGGGTGGCCAGATATATGCCCCTGTGTGGGGGTCAAGGTTAAATCAAATGTATTTTCTATATTAGATTAGATGGCTAGGGAGGGCAGCCTGATATATGCACCTGTGTGGGGGCCAAGGATAAATCAGATGGCAGATGGCTGGGGGGGGGGGGGTGTTGTCTATACTAGATTGGATGGCTAGGGAGGGTGGTCGGATATATGCACCTGTGTGGGGGTTCAAGGATAAATCAGATGGCAGATGGCTGGGGGGGGGGGGGGGGGGGGGGGGGTGTTGTCTACATTAGATTCGTTGGCTAGGGAGGGCGACCTGATATAAACACCTGTGTGGGAGTCAAGGATAAATCAGATGGCTGGGGGGGGGGGGGGGCAGGTGTTGTCTACATTAGATTGGATGGCTAGGGAGGGCGGCCTGATATATGCACCTGTGTGTGGGTCAAGGATAAATCAGATGGCGGGGGGGGGGGGTGTTGTCTACATTAGATTGGATGGCTAGGGAGGGTGGTCGGATATATGCACCTGTGTGGGGGTCAAAGTTAAATCAGATGGCAGATGGCTGGGGGGTGTTCTCTACATTAGATTCATTGGCTACGGAGGGCGGCCTGATATATGCACCTGTGTGGGGGTCAAGGTTAAATCAGATGGCAGATGGCTGGGGGGGGTGTTGTCTACACTAGATTGGATGGCTAGGGAGGGGGCCTGATATATGCACCTGTGTGGGGGGTCAAGAATAAATCAGATGGCAGATGGCTGGGGGGGGTGGGGTGTTGTCTACACTAGATTGGATGGCTAGGGAGGGGGCGGCCTGATATATGCACCTATGTGGGGGTCAAGGGGGGGGGTTGTGATGTGGGCAGAGTGCCCCTGCAAGTGATCCAGGTTGTCTATGGTGTACAAGAGGTCGCATACCTGTCTGCGTTCCAGCTGGCTCTCTCATCAGAGTGCAGCCAAAGTCTCTAAGTGTCACATTTTTGCTTCCAGTAGCATGGGAGTAGACACCACCTTGTGCCACTCCAACCACAGCTGGAGGATCTTCCTGGCATGCTTCTGTCATGGCTTTCTGTTAGGTGTCAGAGAGGCTGCAGTATGCAGGCGTGGGAGCAGTCAAAATATGACAATGCGGATTGTGGTAACGGCAGCCGCATTCTTCGTAGGATCAGCAGTGCAGCTCTGTGTCTCACATCCTACGCCATGAACGTGTGTCCACACCCCGTGTGACATCTACTCTATTGGTGATATATACATTGGCAATGAACCCTCTCTGGGTGACCTACAGGAGGCAAATTTACAAAAGCTGACCCACTCAGAATCTGGTGCAGCTGCGCATGGTAGCCAATCAGCTTAGGCAATAAAACCTGGAAGCCGATTGGTTTCTATGTAGAGCTGCATCGGATTTAGTAAATCCCCCCCATAGACTCACCACACCAGTACCCCCTCTTTTCGCTGGATAATACTCACCTTTCTGGTATTTTTTAATCTGATTCATCATATTAGATTTATCTTTCTGTCTCTTCTGTATAACTTCCACTTGTACCTGATGATCAGAGAAAAAGCCATTTGTGTCCAACACTCAGGGAAACGATAACAAATACATAAATAATAATAAATAAATGAAAACTAAGCCAGTATGTAAGAAGTCACATGTCGGTCACTGACCTTTTTGCCGTACTTTCGCAGAGCTCGCAGCTGTTTGGCTTTTTCTGATTTCTCCATCGCCTGCTGCTTGGCCTGAAGTTTATGCCGAATCTAAAAATACAAAAACCGTCCAGAAACCGTCACGTCGGACAGAACGCTGCTATTCCCTGTTGTTGCAATTCACTGTGTTTTCAGCCATTGGTTCCACATTCACAATTCAGTACTGTCCAAGATATTGTTTTTTATTTGCACTAACATACAAATTTTCAGGACAAGCGTTTGGGGCGAGCCTCCTTCTTCAAGGTCCAGGCAGTACTAATGCTTGAACCCTGAAGAAGGGGGTACACCCCAAGAAACTGGAGAAGAACCATACATTTGAAATCTGCAGCTGCTTAACCCCTCGCCCTCCAGAGGATTTCCCCCCCTTCCTGACCCGGCCATTTTTTGCGTTACAGCGCTGCTTTACTTTAACTGACAATTGTGCAATCATGCAACGCTGCACCCAGATGAAATTTATGTCCTTTTTATTCCACGACTGGAGCTTCCTTTCAGTTGTATTTGATCACCTGTGCGTTTATTTTTTGCGCTATAAGCAGAAAAAAAAAGACCAACAATTTTGAGAAAAAAAAAAAAAAAACACACAATATTTTGGACTTTTTGCTATTAACCACTTCCCTGCCGGCCGTTGCTTATAAACGGCCGGACGGTGGCAGTACAGGGTTGGGTGGCCGTTTATGAACGGCCTCCCCACACCCTGCCTGTGCGCGCTCCCTGGGAGCGCGCAGCACCGCAGTCCGGTGCCCGCTGTGTCCTCCGGACACAGTGAAACACCGATCGTCGAACGGGACCTCTGTACGAGGTCCCGATCATGTGATCACTGATTGGCCAATCAGTGATCACATGCAAAGTAGTAAGCAAGATGTCACTTCTGACATCATTGCTTACTACGTGTGAAATCTGTAAATGATCACAGAGGTCACATGGTACAAGGCTATTCACAACAGGCTTGTACCATGTGACAAGCTGTGACCAATCACAGCTCACTCAGTACTTCTCAATGAGTGCAGGAATGCAGACAGAGAGAAAGAGAAATGATTGCTTTTACATCCTATATGGGTGTAAAAGCAATCATTGTAAAAAAAAAAAAAAATCTTCATCACCCCCCACAAGAAGTACAGTGTCACCATGGTGACACTGTACTGCTAGGGTGACAGTATGTAAAAAAAAAAAAAAAATATAATATAAAAAAATAAAATAAAAATGTAAAAAAAAATGTTTAAAAATTATAATTTTTGGTTATAAACTAATTTGTTTTTTTGTTTTTTTTACTAAAAAGATAACGGAATACATTTTGGCAAAGATTAATGATGAAATATTATTTATTTGCAAAATTTTATAAAAAAAACACTTTTGTTCAAAATTTTTGGACTTTTTCATTTAAATAGCAAAAAAAATAAAAATCCCAGTGGTGAATAAATACCACCAAAATAAAGCGTTATCTGTCTCAAGAAAATAGTAAAAAATTAATTTGGGTACAGTGTTGCATGACCGCGCAATTGCCATTCAAAGTGTGATAGCGCTGAAAGCTGAAAATTGCCCTGGTCAGGAAGGGGGTAAAAGTGTCCAGTCTGGAAGTGGTTAAACATATGCAGTAAAAAAAAAAAAAACAAAAACACAACTAATTTCATCATAAATTTAGGCCAAAATATATTCTGCTCCGTGTCTTTGCTAAAAAAAAAAAAAATCCCAATCCGTGTAAATTAATTGGTTTACGTGAAAGTTATAGTGTTTACAAATGAGGGTATAGATACTGGGATTATTTTTTTTCCCCAACTAGTAATGGCGGCGACCAGAGACTTTTAGCGGGACTGTGGCAGGCATTCTGACACGGAGAGGGAACTAACTTGGTGTCACAGACATCCCCAGTGACACCAATACAGTGATCAGTGCTAAAAAAACAGCACTGAAACTGTACTAATGGCACTGGGCAGGAAGGGGTTAATGTGAGGGGAGATCAAAGGGTTAACTGTGTGTAGGAAATGTATTACTAGAGGGTGGGGGTGTGCTTCACTGTAAGCACATTGATTGGGATGGCTATGCAGTGAGCCTCAGCTGACAGGGAGGAAGACTGTTTGTAAACAAAACAGTCTTCCTCCCTGTCGGTGATCACCGGGCACCGGTGGGTAATCACCAGCCAGGACCCAATGATTGACATTCGTGAATAGCGGTGCAGGTAGGGCTCGCACACACAACCCCTACCTGGAAATACAAAATCATGTACATATACACGTGATTTTGTGCACCCATGCCACCGTGTAGCATTATATCAGCTATACAGCGCCGGGTAAGCAATTAAAGTGTTAGTTCACCTTTATAGAAAAAAAATATAAATAAAAGGTGAACACCATACACCATTCCCAATCCCCTCCAGTCTTCGCTGTACTTACAGTACCTTGAAAAAGTATTCATACCCCTTGAAATTTTCCCCATGTTGTCATGTTACAACCAAAAACGTCAATGTATTTTATTGGGATTTGATGTGATAGACCAACACAAAGTGGCACATCATTGTGAAGTGGAAGGAAAATGAGAAATGGTTTTCAAAATTTTACACAAATATGTGAATAGTGTGGCGGCATTTGTATTCAGCCCCCTTTACTCTGATACCCCTAACTAAAATCTAGTGGAACCGATTGCCTTCAGAAGTAACCCAATTAGTACATATTGTCCCCCTGTGTGTCATGTAATCTCAGTATAAATACAGCTGTTCTGTGAAGACCTCACAGGTTTGTTAGAGAACATTAGTGAACAAACACCATCATGAAGGCCAAGGAACACACCAGACAGGTCAGGGATAAAGTTGTGGAGAAGTTTAAAGCAGGGTTAGGTTATAGAAAAAATATCCCAAGCTTTGATCATCTCACGGAGCACTGTTCAATCCATCACCCGAAAATGGAAAGAGTACGGCACAACTGCAAACCTTACGCCGGCAGGGGATGGTGTTGGGTTGTACAATGTTGGCTCAACTTTTTTTTTTTTCCCTCAAAAAGGTGAACACTATAAACAGTGCAGGCAGCCTACCTTCTGCATGTGCTGGTCTGTCTTTGCCATCTCAGCAAAGTAATCATCTGGGCGCTTTGTGGAAATTTTCAACTGATTTAGACGTGGCAGAGCAAAGAGCACAGCCGCCTGCGCTTGTCGGTAACTGGAGAAAGAGAAAATCATTTGCAACCCTCAAACAAACTTTTTAATTACCGCAAATATTAACAAATGCTATCAGTCTAGGCAGACTCCATGCAGCTTCCTGGGATCTGCCTCCTCCCCACAGTCCATGCAAAGTTCAAGTTGTGTACCGCTGGTTTTTTCCAATGGTCATGAATTCTGACACCAGCATGCAAAAGAACAAGCAAGGTCACTCAGACATCCTTCCCCCGTCTAATAAGGCTCCGCCCCTGACATGGGTACTAAAGCTCATATTGTGGGCAAAATGCATCAGTGGCAGAGCCAAGTCAGATGGGTGAAGGAGTCGTCACAGTGACCTTGCTTGCTCTTTTGCTTGGCTGTCCATGTGTCAGAGTTCATCATGTTAGGAAGAAAAAAAAAGAGGGAAGAAGGAGGAAGGAGGAAGGAAAAAGGAAAGAGGAAAGAGGGAGGAGAGGAGGGGGGAGGAGGAGGAGGAGGAGGAGGAAGAAGAGGAGGAGGAAGAAGAGAAAAAAAAAAAAAAAGCAATGTGTGGATTTTGGGAAGCCGCAGTGAACTCCATACGACATTTTCTATTGAGAAGCTCTGCAGTAAATCACTCACAAACACATTTCCCTCTGGAAATCATCCTCCGCATTGACATCAGTGCCCTGAGCCGCCTCCGCCCCGTTCTGTTCCGTCTTATCAGGTACAGGGGCCGTTGTTACATCCAGACGCTCCAACCACTCCAGATCTTTCTCGAGATCCTGAAGGCATTGTCTTAGTCCAGTCTGAAGAGGAAGTCAGAGAACATGTTAAAAGTTATGAAAGAAGAGAGTGCGATTAGCACCTAAATGAAGCCGGTACTTTACAGAGACTACCATTGCTGCCTGGTTGTCAGTGACCTCAGTATTCAACAATATATGAGAGATAGAGAGAAGCCTGCACTTCCCATCTCTATACTTATCCCAGGGCAGTGCTTCAAAGTACTGAAACTAGGAACAGCCAGGCAACCAACATTTTCCAAACTCGAACAATGGCGGCTTAGTACAGGTTTCTTTTAAAGCTGAAAAACCTACCCTTAGCGAATGAATGGTTTTCAGAAAGACTAGCAATATGAATAAATATGGCTGCCCCATGTACATATAAACTATATACAAAAAAAAAACAAAACACTTTTTTTTTAAAACAATAACACTCATTAATAAAACATTGGGGTTGATTTACTGAAACTATAGAGTGCAAAATCTGGTGCAGCTGTGCATGGCAGTCAGCTTCTAACCTCAGTGGTTGTAAAGGCTCAAGGCTTTATACCTTTATGCATTCTATACATAAAAAAAAGCGAGTATTGGGGAGTCGGGAGGGACCTTTGCAGACACCCTGTCATACTATACTGCATGGGATATGCATAGATTTTCAGGCTCTATCTTATGCACAGAAAAAACGCATTGTACTCTGATAGTTCCCATTGAACTTTATAGACTGTGAGTTTAGACCGCACCGACTCAAACTCGCATAGGACCCTTTTTGCGGCTCTAACGCAGATATCGAACGCCCTCCATAGGAACACATTCAATTTCACTTGTCATGTGAATACATAAGCTCAAAACGCATCACAAAAAACAGACATGTATGAACCAGGGCTAAGAGTATATACAAAGCAGATCAAAATCATGATATATATATATATATACATATAAAATATAGACAGATATACACACATATACATATATATATACACATACATACACACACACACATACATACACACAATTTAGATCCATATAGGAAAGGTTTAGGAATTACAGCTCTTAATAGTAGCCATCCCCCCTTTTTCAAGGGACCAAATGTAGTTGGACAGTTGAATATAATTATAAATAAAATGTTCATCTGTAATATTTTGTTGAGAATCCTTTACTGGCAATGACTGCCTGAAGTCTGGAACCCATGGACATGACCAAAGAACTGGACATGACCAAAGACTGGGTTCCTCCTTTCTTGAAGTCCATGACCAAAGACTCCTCCTTTCTGATGCTTTGCCTGAAGTCCTGGAACCCATGGACATGACCAAAGACAGAGGTTTCCTCCTTTCTGTTTCCTCCTTTCTGATGCTTTGCCTGAAGTCTGGAACCCATGGACATGACCAAAGACTGGGTTTCCTCCTTTCTGATGCTTTGCCTGAAGTCTGGAACCCATGGACATGACCAAAGACTGGGTTTCCTCCTTTCTGACCAAAGGACATGACCAAAGACAGGTTTCCTCCTTTCTGATGCTTTGCCTGAAGTCTGGAACCCACGGACATGACCCAAGACTGGGTTTCCTCCTTCTGATGCTTTGCCTGAAGTCTGGAACCCATGGAAATGACCAAAGACTGGGTTTCCTCCTTTCTGATGCTTTGCCTGAAGTCTGGAACCCATGGACATGACCAAAGACTGGGTTTCCTCCTTTCTGATGCTTTGCCTGAAGTCTGGAACCCATGGACATGACCAAAAAGACAGGGTTTCCTCCTCCTTTCTGATGCTTTGCCTGAAGTCTGGAACCCATGGACATGACCAAAGACTGGGTTTCCTCCTTTCTGATGCTTTGCCTGAAGTCTGGAACCCATGGACATGACCAAAGACTGGGTTTCCTCCTTTCTGATGCTTTGCCTGAAGTCTAGAACCCATGGACATGACCAAAGACTGGGTTTCCTCCTTTCTGATGCTTTGCCTGAAGTCTGGAACCCATGGACATGACCAAAGACTGGGTTTCCTCCTTTCTGATGCTTTGCCAGGCTCTAACTGCAGCTCTCTTCAGTTGTTTGCTGTTTGTGGGTCTTTTCTGCCTTTAGTTCTGCCTTCAGCAAGTGAAATGCATGCTCAATTGGGTTGAGATCAGGTGATTGACTCGGCCATTGCAGAATACTCCACTTCTTTTCCTTCAAAAGCTCCTTTTGCAGTTGTTGCAAAGCCCAAACCTTTACTGCAATAGCTAAAAATGCAATGATTGGATCAACACAAGACCCCTTCACAAAGCCGATAAAGGGGTCCTGCAAGAATCTTGACTTGTTGCATTCTTATGTGATCTTACAATAGCAGTTTGGGCTTTGCTACAAGCTCCTAGGTTTGCTGGCGATTTATTTTATCCATGTTCTTGGCATGAGGCACGAGAAAATACACAGAGGAGAAGAACCATACTCACCACATCATTGGAAGCTTTCGGTTTTCCTTCCAGCACCACATTTAACCCCGGCTTCAGTTTTCCCTGAGAAAAGGCTTCTTGTAACTGTAACACAAAGAGTTTGTCGCATTTAGAATATATTAGAATGTAAATGCAAACACACATACAACATGCCTCCTAATAGGCAGCAATCCAGGCACATTTACCCAGCTTTGATCTTTTGAAAGCATGCTTCCTGACAACATCCGGGATAGACAGACTAATGCCCCGTACACACGATAAGAAAATCGACGAAAAATTTAGCGGAACCGCTGATCGAACGATTTTCTCTTCGTTGATGAGCGGGATGTTTTAACCGATAACGATATTATGAATGTATATGTATATATATTTTCGTTCGTGTTGATGAAGATTCCTTGGACATAAACATCCGGGTCATCTTCTGTTTCCGCTCATGCGTGATAGCCTTGATAATTTTTTTTTTTTCGTACAACTGTCATACCACCACATAGAAAATCAGTCGTTCGTATGCAAAACCACAAAATTTTTCACTGTTGTTCAGCCAGATTTTTTATCTGGCTGAACAGTGAAATATTTAGTGGTTTCGCATACGAACGACTGATTTTCTATGCGGCGGTATGACAGTTGTACGAAAAAAAAAAATCTATCAAGCGCTATCACGCATGAGCGGAAACAGAAGATGACCCGGATGTTTATGTCCAAGGAATCTTCGTAAACACGAACGGAAAATCCAAATGTTAAAAGTAGATCGGCCCAATGAGATCATGAAACCAGAATTGTGCAGATTGTATTTTATGTATCACTATTTATGTATATAGGTCATGTGATAAACGATATTATATTCATTGCTGGTAATTGTGTATATCGATCGTTCTGGCCGGGAAGGGCGTGGCTACAAGGTCACACGCACACCGCATCACTTCCACTTGTACGGAAGATGTCAACACTACGTATTGCCCGAAGAACGATTTTTTTAGATTGGTTAATGTGGGCCGCGATTTCGACCAACGAACGAACGCCTCTCGGTCGTTGGATGACTAATTGATCGATTTTCTAATCGTGTAAAAGCCTATGAAAAAGGTACCAGGGGCATCTCATGGGGCCCCCTACTGACCCCAGACACTGGTGCGGTGCCCGAGTTCCCAAATGGTCAGTCCGCCCCTGGTTGTAACATATTACAAAAGGTGAACTGATCCTTTAAAACCGTATCAACATTTCAAGGCCCTTTCGGGCTTTCCTATCAGGTCTGTCCGTCTTTCTTCCAGAAGCTCCATGTGGTTCTATGGGCAGACTGTTGTAAACGGTCTTGTAGCCATTTACACCCACCTACCTTCAAATCTGGAAGAGTACTGCGTCTGGAGAGGGATTAGACCCCCTGTCAGGTGTTATTGCCGTCTGTATCAGGGAGATCCACCCTCTCTATTGGTCCTGATTACCATTATCTCAGAGAGTGAAAGAAAATCCCAAATTTGGAGTTGTCACCAGAACAGGAAGAGAGGAGGAATCTTCCAATGGGGACACGAGTTGTGGTGACAACCAGGGACTTTCTGTTGTTGGCTGACAGGAAGAGAAATCCCTGTGCGGGAGAAGTAAAAACATTTTTTTGGGGGGTCCTGTGTGGTGAATGTGAGACTTGTGAGCCGTGCTGCAGAGGAGAGCGCAGCCGGAGGAAGAGGGTCAGCGCGCCGGTAATCACCTCCTTATCAGTCAGCTCAGACGGGTCGAAGTCAGAATCCGAGTCCGACAGACTCTCCTCCTCGTGATCCAACATGGCGCCTCCCGATCCTGGCAGGGAATAGAAAGAGACAATGTCAACAAAGCACAGAATCCGGGATGATCCTCTACTGATCGGGAGGAAGAATACGCGGCGGGAGCTTAGATACCAAACAGGCCCTAAAATGGGGTGGGGGGCATTCAGACAGGTACTGGGGGGGGGGCTCTGGGGTGAGGAAGAAGGTCTGAAGTTTGGAACTGATGGGGAATAGAAGGAGATGGGGGGAGGGCATTCAGACAGGTATTGGGGGGCTGTGGGTGAGGCAGGAGGACTGAAGTTTGGAATTGATGGGGAAGAATAGAAGGAGATGGGGGGGGAAGGGGATGGGGGGCAGACAAGTATTGGGGGGCTGTGGGGAGGAGGACTGAAGTTTGGAATTGATGGGGAAGAATAGAAGGAGATGGGGGGGGGGATAAAGAAGGGATGGGGGGATAAAGAAGGGGAGGAGGACAGAAAGTTTGGGGGGGCTGATGGGGAGGACTAAGTTTGGGAAGGGGAGGACTAGGGGAAGGGGTTCTATGTGGTGTGACTAGGAAACAACTCGGTGTCCTCCCTCACTCCTCCGGCCATGACACGACTAACAACACACTACAACGTCCCTGCACACCGCACAGGAGATACACCCAGCCCTCCCCCGTCTTCTCCGCACTCCCCGGCACGTTCCCCCTCTCACCGTACACACTACTCGCCTCACGTGGAGTGCACCGGAAGTCCCACAAAACCCCGTTTCCGGCTACGTCGGCGGAGGGCATCACGTGACAGCCTAGAGAGAGTGTTGTCATGGTGACCCTCCCCCTACCTATTGTTTCCGTCCCGACATCCTCCGCTGTCTCAGCGTCCCGTCTCCATGGTAACCGGAGAGCAGGACTGGAGAGACGCACCGAGTCCGCGTGAGTGTCCGACCTCCACCCACCTACCTACCTATATATATATATACCACCTACCTACCTGTATGTAACCTCCACCCACCTACCTACCTATATATATATACCACCTACCTACCTGTATATAACCTCCACCCACCTACCTACCTATATATATATAACATCACCTACCTACCTGTATATAAATCCACCTACCTACCTATATATATCTATATATACATCCACCTACTCTATATACATATATATATATATATATAAAAAAAACACCTACCTACCCGTATATAGCCTCCAACTACCTGTATATAACCTCCACCTACCTGTATATAACCTCCACCTACCTGTATATATCTGTATATAACCTCCACCTACCTCTATATAACCTCCACCTACCTGTATATATCTGTATATAACCCTTGCCTACCTGTATATGTAACACCCCTACCTCCACCTACCTGTATAGCTCCTCCTACCTGTATGTACCCATATATAACCTTCACCTACCTGTATATAACCTCCACCTACCTGTATATAACCTCCACCTACCTGTATATATCTGTATATAACCTCCACCTACCTGTATATAACCCCACCTACCTATAGCCTCCACCTACCTGTATATATCTGTATATAACCCTTGCCTACCTGTATATGTAACACCCCTACTTCCACCTACCTGTATATAAACTTCCACCTACCTGTATATACCTACAGTGGATATAAAAGTCTACACACCCGGTTACAATGTCAGGTTTCTGTGATGTACAAAAATGAGACAAAGATAAATCATTTCAGAACTTTTTCCACTTTTAATGTGACCTATAAACTGTACAACTCAGTTGAACAACAAACTGAAATCTTTTAGGTGGCGGGAAGTAAAAATAAAAAGCTAAAATAATCTGGTTGCATAAGTGTGCACACCCTTACACTCATCCTTTTGATGTGATTCCAGCGCTCAGTCTTTTTGGGGAGGAGTCTATCAGCACGGCACATCCTGACTCGGCAATATTTGCCTGCTCTTCCTTGCAAAGACACTCCAAATCTGTCAGATTGCGTGTCATCTCCTGCGCACAGCCCTCTTCACATCACCCCACTGATCTTCCATCGGATTCAGGTCTGGGCTCTGGCTGGGCCATTCCAGAACTTCCATCTTCTTCTGGTGAAGCCATTCCTTTGTGGATTTGGATGGATGCTTTGGGTGGTTGTCATGCTGAAAGATGGAGTTCCTCTTCATGTTCAGCTATCTAGTTGAAGGTTTTGTGCCGATATGGACTGGTATTTGGAGCTGTTCATAATTCCCTCTACTTTGAATAAGGTCCCACTTCCAGCTGAAGAAAAACAGCTCCAAAGCGTGATGCTGCCACCACCATGCTTCACGGTGGGTATGGTGTTCTTTTGGTGATGTGCAGTGTTGTTTTTTGCGCCAAACATATCTTTTGGAATTATGGCCACAAAGTCCATCCTCGGTTTCATCAGACCAGAACACATTTCCCCACATGATTTTGGGAGACTTCAGATGTGTTTTTGCAAAATTTAGCCGGGCTTGGATGTTTTTTTTCATAAGAAAAGGCTTCCTACTCTCCCCCGTAGGCCAGACATATGAAGAATACAGGAGATTGGTGTCACATGGACCACACAGCCAGGACTTGACAGATATTCCTGCACCTCCTTTCATGTTGCTGTAGGCCTCTTGGCCTCCTCCCAGACCAGTTTTCGTCTCGTCTTTTCATCCATTTTGAAGGGACGTCCAGTTTTTTGGTGATGTCACTGTTGGTGATGTCACTGTTGGTGGTGTCACTGTTGGTGATGTCACTGTTGGTGGTGTCACTGTTGGTGATGTCCCTGTTGTGCCATATTTTCTCCACTTTACTGTGTTCCATGGTATATATAATGCCTTGAAAATTTTGTACCCTTCTCCTGATTGATACCTTTTAGCCACTTCAAGTCCGGACACTTTCACCCCCCTTCTAGTCCGGACACTTTCCCCCCCTTCCAGTCCGGACACTTTCACCCCCCCCCCCCATTCTAGTCCGGACACTTTCCCCCCCTTCCAGTCCGGACACTTTCCAGTCCGGACCCCTTCCAGTCCGGACACTTTCACCCCCTTCCAGTCCGGACACTTTCACCCCCTTCCAGTCCGGACACTTTCCCCCCTTCCAGTCGAGACACTTTCCCCCCCCCCTTCCAGTCCGGACACTTTCACCCCCTTCCAGTCCGGACACTTTCACCCCCTTTTCCAGTCCGGACACTTTTCACCCCCTTCCAGTCCGGACACTTTCACCCCCCCCCTTCCAGTCCGGACACTTTTCCCCCTTCCTGTCCGGACACTTTCACTTTCCGGACACTTTCCCCCTTCCATCCCCCTTCCTTCCAGTCCGGACACTTTCCCCCCTTCCAGTCCGGACACTTCCAGTCCGGACACTTTCCCCCCCCTTTCCAGTTCCAGGGACACTTTCCCCCCCCTTCCAGTCCGGACACTTTCCCCCCCTTCCAGTCCGGACACACTTTCCCCCCCCAGTCCGGACACTTTCCAGTCCGGACACCCCCCCCCTTCCAGTCCGGACACTTTTCCCCCCCCCCCTTCCAGTTCGGACACTTTCCCCCCCCCTTCCTGTCCGGACACTTTCCCCCCCTTCCTGTCCGGACACTTTCACCCCCCTTCCAGTCCGGACACTTTCACCCCCTTCCAGTCCGGGGACACTTTCACCCCCTTCCAGTCCGGACACTTTCCCCCCCCTTCCAGTCCGGACACTTTCACCCCCTTCCAGTCCGGACACTTTCCCCCCCTTTCCAGTGCTCCGGACACTTTTTCCCCTTCCAGTCCGGACACTTTCCCCCCCCTTCCAGTCCGGACACTTTCACCCCCCACTTCCCCAGTCCAGGACACTTTCACCCCCTTCCAGTCCGGACACTTTCACTTTCCCCCACTTCATCACCCCCCTTCCAGTCCGGACACTTTCACCCCCCTTCCAGTTCCCCCCCCTTCCAGGACACTTTTCCCCCACCCCCTTCCAGTCCGGACACTTTCCCCCCCCCCTTCCAGTGTGGACATTTTCACTCCCTTTCCCCCCTGTCCGGACATTTTCACCCCCTTCCAGTCCGGACACTTTCCCCACCTTCCAGCTTGCACACTTTCCCCCCCTTTCCAGTCCGGACACTTTCCCCCCCTTCCATCTTCCAGTCCGGACACTTTCCCCCCCCCTTCCTGTCCGGACACTTTCCGCCCCTTTCCAGTCCGGACACTTTCCCCCCCTTTCCCCCTTCCAGTCCGGACACTTTCCCCCCTTCCAGTCCGGACACTTTCACCCCCTTCCAGTCCGGACACTTTCACCCCTTTCCAGTCCGGACACTTTCACTCCCCTTCCAGTCCGGACACTTCCCCCCCTTCCCCCCTTCCAGTCCAGGCCAATTTTCAGCTTTCAGCACTGTCACACATTGAATGACAATTGTGCGGTCATGCAACACTGTACCCATATGAATTTTTTAGCATTTTTTTTAGACAGATAAAACTTTATTTTGGTGGTATTTATTCACCACTGGGGATTTTTATTTTTTTTTTGCTATATAAATTAAAAAGTGTTTTTCTTATAAACTTTTGCAAATAAATAATCTTTCTTCATAAATCTTGGCCAAAATGTATTCAGTTATCTTTTTAGTAAAAAACAAATAACCCAAATTAATTTATAATATATTTTTTTACATTTTTATTTTATTTTTTTACAGTATATTATTTATTCATTTTTTTTTTTTAATGTACTGTCACCCTAGCAATATAGTAACACTGTACTATTTGTGGGGGTGATGAAGATTTTTTTTTTTTTTACACTTTTTGCATTTACACCCATAAAGGCTGTAAAAACAATCATTCTCCTTCTCTCTGGCTGCATTGTTGCAGCCATTGAGAAATACTGTGTGAGCTGTGATTGGTCACAGCTTGTCACATGGTACAAGGCTGTTGTGAATAGCCCTGTACCATGTGATCTCGGTGATCATTCACAGATTTCACACGTAGTAAGCAATGATGTCAGAAGTGACATCTTGCTTACTACTCTTCATGTGATCATTGATTGGCCAATCAGTGATCACATGATTGGGACCTCACAAAGAGGTCCCGAA